ATGCAACCCTCTTTGAACCGCCTCAAACTCGCCATGCCCAACAACGCCAGGTCACGTATGGATACGATTCACAGAACGCGCAGCTGCTCGGCATTGAGAAGGGCCTAGCCGAGAAGTCGATCAAGCTGTCCGCATATGAGCACGTCACAAAGGTCGAGGTCAAGGCCGAGCCCAACAAGTGCGGCGCGCATGGAAAGACCGTTGATACAGGCGGCTATGCACGGGGCGGATGGCATGCGGAGTAGGCGGCCTCAGCGACATTGCGTGGTGGTGGCACCGAAAGGGACAGGGTGGGAACATGCAGTTGGGTGGCATGCTGACAACGGCGCGTTCCTGCGTTGCCGTCTCTGCCGGCAGGTGCATCCAGTGGCTGCAGCTCTCCACCAACCACACCAAGACCCTGGCGGTCGGCAACGACAAGTTGACCGCCCCGTCCACGGTGGCAACTGTCAACCGCAAGGCCGGCTACCTGGCCGCCATCCGCGGCTGGCAGGACGCACCCAAGGGCGGCCTGCAGCAGCTGCAGTTTGTGTGGGGCGTCGCCGTCTGGTGCGCGCCTGTAGTGTGCCGGATTCGAGGGGGCGCCTCATAAGAGGCGGCTAGCTGTGGTGGCGCAGCCGGTCTGTTGAAAGCAGCCCTCACTGCGGCTGTCTTTGCAGTATGGGTGCAGGAGCGGTCTCAACCCAGCATATTCAACCTATGTTGACCTGCTACCCGTCCTCGCAGCCCCGAGCCACCAGCGCCCAAGCCCGCGCCGGTACCCCTGCCATCTCCTGAGCCGACCCCTGAGCCGACCCCGGAGCCCGAGTCGCCTGCGCCGACTGGCGGCCCCGACGAGCCCGCCCCGTCCCCCGCCCCCGAGCCTGAGCCTCTGTGCCCCCCGGTGAAGGCCAAGTGCGACACCACCGCCCCCGAGGGCGGCAGCGCGTTCTGCCCCGCGATCACGCCCTTCACCACCAGCCAGTGCACCGGCGGCTGCTGCGTGTCGGCGGGCAAGTGCAAGAAGGTGAGGCAGACTGCCAGGCGGCCTGGGTCGGGTAGTGACCCGGGGCAGTCCCTGACCATCCGGAATGTTGGTGTGTTCATACTGTAGTGTTTATTGTTGTTCTTTTACGCGATGAGGGGTGGGCACTTGAATGCATTTCACTGCTGAACAAACCGCGCGCTCAACCACCCAACACACTGCACACTGATCTGCTACACCACCCCAGCCTCTGTGCGGCTTCAACGGCCTGGGCGCGGAGGTGTTTGCCAAGGACCTGTTCTGCTGGGGCACCAACAAAGGCTTCCTGCACAACAAGGTTGGGGCCAAGCGGGCTTGGCCCATGCAGCCACGTGACATGCGGTGCAGCCCACAGGCGCCGATCAGGGTTGGCTAGCGCGGCTTGCAAGAGGTGGCCGTATGCCTTGCAAGAAGCTGGCACGCTTTGTGAAAAGCAGCTTGATCTCATGCATCTGAACCCGACTTGAACGCCTCGGTCACCTCCGCCCCTGCCCCTCGGCCGCAGTTCAACCGCTGCAAGAACCTGGCCTGCAAGCTCGCCGTGCCCGGCTGCATCGGCGACGTGCTGAGCGGCGCGTGCGTCGGCACCGTGGCGGCGCTGTCGGACGACGTGGACGATGGCGCCAAGCAGTGGGTGGGGTACCCCTGCCTGCAGCCCATCCCCGCGGGCCTGCCCGTAGACGCGCTGGGCCACTGGGACATCAACGGCGCGTACGCCAACAAGCTGTGAGCCGCAGCAGCCTGCAGGGCGGGGCGTGGATGACCCTTTGCACGACTAGCGTCTGCGGCCTGGGATCACTGATTGGGGGGGAGGGCGACCCAATAAGGTTCTTGTCAAAACAGGCGGAACAGTTCTCACTGTGGTGTCAGCTGAACCACCTGCTGTGCAACCTCAGCCGTGAAGGCCTTTCTTCTTCCCTCGCCAATGGCACCACCCCTGTCGCCCTGGCCTGTGCCCACCCCGCCCCCCGCAGCTGGACCATCTGCAACTGCAAGGCCACCAAGGCCGTCCCCGGCTACGACAGCGCGTCATGCAAGGGCCCCCTCTGCGAGCTCTTCAAGAAGCCCGAGTTCCCCAGCCTCAACTTCGGCCTCCCCAAGTTTGACCTGCCCGGTGGGTGGGCGGCGTGACGCGGGCACAGGGCCTGCAGCCCTTCTGGAGGAGGGCGACAGCGCGACTGGTGCAGCTGCGTGAACGCACAAATCCAACCCCAGAGTACACTCACACAGTACACACATTCACACATGCAAATACACATGCATGCGCGCCTTCTCTCCCTCACACACACACACACACACACACACACTCATCTTGCAGACGTGGGCAAGCTGATTGACTCCAAGCTTGACGCCCTGGGCAACATCACCGAGCTGTTCAAGCCCAACATCACCATCCCCCACCTCCCCGCCCTCAACCTCAAGAGCCACCTGGACGAGGTGCGGGGGCAGACGGGTACACGCATGCGGGGGCGTGGGAGGGGGTGTGTGGTCCTTTGTGCGCCGCTCTCCGCAAGTGCAAGTGCGCGTGCGTGGTTTTGGGTGTAAATCGGAGTTGTGGAGCGCACCCTTGCGTGCACGTATGACTCGCATGGTCCGGTTCATGGCTTGTGGCTATGATAGCTCACCCCCTTGAGCCATGGCCGACTCTCTCGCTCCCGGCTCGCCGCGGCCGCCTGCCCCCCCTGTCCCCCAGCTCAAGGCCCACCTCAACGGCACCGCGGCCAGCCTCAGCGGGCCCCTGCGCGCGGCGCTGCTGGCCAAGCTGCCCACCTTCACCCTCAACCTCACCAAGCCCGAGGTGCCCACCCTCAGCCTCAACATACCGCACCCGGACCTCAACCTGGCGGACCTCCTGCCATCGGTGAGGGGAGGGAGGGCCTGAGGGGGGCCCCGCAGGGCGGGCAGGGCGTTGGCGGCAGGTGTCGCGCCTTGAGGGGGTGGTGGTCACAGTGGCCTTGGGACCACTGCCATATGTGCAGCCCGCTCAGGTTTGGGGCAACGTTTGGGGGATGTCCTTACGGCTGGCAAGCCGGCTGCTGGGGCGCGCATCGTGCTCAAGCTCCCCGTGCCAGGCATCCCAGCTGAGGCACGCAAGGTCCTCTGCGTGCGGGCCGCCCCGCCCCAACCCCATTCCCCCGGGTCAGTCCTCACC